AGGGTCAAGGGAGACCTTGCAAACCCCTTTCATGGGATTGCCCAGAACGACCCACGTCCTCTGGTTGGCATTTCCTGGTGCCAGTGGGGGTGGGAGCCGTGTCCTGGTGCAGAACCTGCTCGCTGTCCCTCCAGGCTGGAACGAAAGGCACACGCCCTGCCAGAACAACCCCAAGGTGGGCACAGCCCAGGGGATCCTTTCCTGTGACCTTTAACTGGTCTTCAACAGGGTAGCAGCTCCTGCACCCCACAGAGCCTTGGTCAGACACTTACCCCAGGTGGGGGCTGTCAGGGATCCTGAGAACTGTCTCTCACCACCCAGACCCACCCAGACTGAGCCCTCTCCCACTAAGCTCAAGACTCTTGGTGACTATAGATTAGGACAAGTAAAGTCCCTCCCGTCCTGTTTCACTGATGTTTGCTTCATCTACATTACATCTCTTTCCTCTGGCTTTGACTTACTATTTATTCTCGAGCTTCTCAAGGTGGAAATTTACTGTTGATTTTCAGACTTTCTTCTCTCTGGATTAAGGCCTATCAGCTTCCCTCTGAGCACTGTTTCAGCTGCATTCCACAAGTCCGATGTTACCTCCTCCTGTCTTCTTTAAGAACAATGTTCCATTCTTGGGAACCAGCAGTTAGCGTAATGGCTATGTCGCTGGATTCCCACGTAGTCGACCGCGGTTCGTGTCCCGGACCCGGTGGCTTAAAACTCACGCCGGGCGCGTGTGCGTGCGTGCCCAAGATCCCGAGAGGAGAATGGAGGAGAAGGGATTGTGGCGTGACCATCCCCCCTGGGGGGTGATTTCTCGCTTTCTGTCTCTATGTCTCTCTCTGTCTGTCTGGCGAGCGCACGCGCCCTACAGTGAAAATCTCTCTAAAAAAAAAAAAAAAGAACAATGTTCCATTCTTCTCTGATAAAATATTCAGACCAGGGACCAGCAGAAGGTGTAATGGTTATGTTACTGGATCCCCACATAATCGGCTGTCATTCGAGTCCTAGACCCAGCAGCTTAAACCTCACACCAGGCCCATGTGCATGCATGCCCGAAATCCCAAGAGGAGAATGGAGGAAAAGGGGTTGTGGTGTGGCCATCCCCTCCGGGGGTGATTTCTTGCTTTCTGTCTCTCTGTCTCTCCAACAAGCACAGGTGCCCTAGAGCAAAAATCTCTCTTAAAAAAAAAAAAAAAGGAAATGAAAAAATTCTGAAGAAGTCCTGAGTTCCGATCTAAACTATAAGTGCATCACACTTTATTTCTAGAACTACTTGGCTATAAAAACACTTGAAAGCTGGTGCTGCCACCGTGGTGCAGGTGAGAGGGCACTGCTGTGTGATACCGGAGCCATGTGGGAGGCCTGGGTTCGGATCCCAGGGGGGCATGCCTGTGTACACCCTTGATCCTGGTGGCTCAAGGGTGGCAGGGGAAGACTGCAGTGTGACGAGAGCCTGTCAAGGATACACGTCTCACTCTCAAGAAATAAATAAATCATCGAAAGAGTGAAGCTCTTAGGAGGAGTCCAAAGGAATGGTTTGATAACTCTTGCTTTCATTTTTTTTTTAAATGTTTACTTATTTCTTCCATGAGCAAGAGCGAGACAGTGACAGAGAGACAGCCTCCCGAACAGGGTCTTGACACTGTGACCCACGCCCAGCCTCAGCCAGCCCTGGATCACGGGCACGCATGTGCCTGACGTGCTCAGGGAGGTCTCCAGACACGAACCCAGAACCTCCCCATGTGTGTCGGCCTTGCAGTGCCGCATTCTGCCACTGCACCGCCATCCAGTCCCTCTTGCCTTGTTCATTTTTTTAAATCCAATTTCAATTGGATAAACACTGCACACTTGATTTCTCAAATTGAAACTATCCAAGCAAAGATGTCCAGTGTGTCCAGAACAAGCCCTACTTTAGAAAACACATTCAGGATAGACCCCATGGAATACTATCCAGCCATTAAAAGCAAACAAACAGAAAAACCAAGACCCTGGCATTTGATAGAAAGGGGTCGAATATGGAGGCTCTACTGCTGAGTGAAGACAGCCAGGATATGAAAGAAAGATACTGTATGTATCCACTTAATACATACCGACTATCTGCACTCTGGTAGCGAGCGAAATAGCGGAGGGCATGAAAGCAGTGAAAATAGTTATGGATGCTGAAGATGGTGTGGAACGGAGGGGGAAGGGAAGAGTACAGAGAAGGATAGCAAGAGAACAGAGAGGCATGATGTTAGTGGGACACAGAAACGGCTTATCACCTGCTGATGCTAACGTGGGTAGTATTCGCTATTGGACTGGTCTGAGAAGTACTTCATGTTAGGGAACCAGCAGTTAGCATAATGGCTATGTCGCTGGACTCCCACGTAGTTGACTGCGGTTCGTGTCCCGGACCTGGTGGCTTAAAACTCACGCCGGGTACGTGTGCGTGCGTGCCCAAGATCTCCGAGAGGAGAATGGAGAAGAGATTGCAGCATGACCATCCCCCCTGGGGGTGATTTCTCGCTTTCTGTCTCTCTGTCTCTCTCTGTCTGTCTGGTGAGCGCATGCGCCCTGTAGCGAAGTACTTCACGTTAGGTAAATTCTCTTTACAAGCCAAGTGATGTATAGTGATTGAATGTTTAAAAAAATAATGAGAGGCTGCGACCGGCGGCGGGTCCTGCGCAGCCGCCCCCCCC